TCTCCCTCCCCCATAGTAATAATGCCCCCTGTCCATACCTTTTTCCACTTTGCCCTTTTTGCAGCCAAAATGCCCTAAATTGCCTGGCGAGGGAGGTCTTCACTGACGTGGGACGTCTACTCAAGGACCGACGACAGAAGGATATAATGACTGATTTCGGCTGTCACCTCACGGATGCGGCTCGGTAAGTCGGTCTGTGCTTATGTCAGTTATGGTAAATTTCCACGCCATTGTCAATTCAGAACCTCAGTCATAATCGCTGGGGGTTGGTGCTGCTGTCTCCTGTGCGATGTCGCTCACCGCAATGAGTCGCAAAAAAATCGGGCCTTTATAAAATTGGCTACACTGGAGCCAATGTTGGTGTTAAGCGATAAACCTACCTAACCGTTTCATCCGGGAAAGATCCGAGCTCAGATGTAGCCAAGGAGACAAAACTAGCGTTTTTGTTATGTTAGGGCCCAGCTTAACTGCGAGTGCACGCCCCCTGACGAGTCGTTCCCACGACAAACGACCGGTCCACCCATACAAAGTGCACGTGATGACGCGTGTAGCTGCGCCCAAGCTCAGGACTCTAATAGGCCAGCTGCAGGAATCACAAAGCCAATGAAGTCGCTCCCTTACTTGAGCTCACAATCTTATTAGTCCGATTGGACATGGCTTATACACGCGTTTGCTTGCCCTAAATATGCTGTACTAAGACTTGCTCTAAGACTTCTGCTTTTGTCCTCTTCTTGTCCTGTTCTTCCTTGGGGGGCTCACGCAAGGTGTAACGTAGACGGTGATATCGCAGTTTTGGCCACATTTACAACAGGTTAGAGGTGTTTTTCAATCACACCTTCGCATCAGAACGAACACCTGACTGCCACCATTCTTCGACTCTTCAGTCTCTCGCAATGCATTGGCGATGGACTAAAAGTTGTTGAGGCCTTGTGCCTCCTAGAATGTAGGCTCTTTCTTTGATTACGGTATGCGACTTGCATTTCGCATGCAGTTTTCCTTTTGATTCGCCACATATCACTGTCATCGAAGCGGGCTTTTGAAACTAAGCCGTCTTTTTTTCCTGCTAATTATTGGGATAGGAATTTTAAGTAGGACTGCCTTCAGAGGTCCTAACTGCCTTTGACTTATAACAATAACCTACTTTTACATTTTCGATAACCCTCCTTTCCATTTTTTTCTTTATTTTCCGCAACTATAAGGTCAAATTTCCAATTCCGT